AATCGGCGGAGGACAGGGCAGGGCACCCAGGCTCCGACCGAGCACACAGACTGGGATGGAGTTCCTGAGGGCCCAGAAGGTGGGTGGGAGTGGGGGGTGGCCACATTTCCATTCACTAAGCGGGTGTGGGATATAAGAGTAACAAGAGGAATGTCACACCTTTTCAGTTGTCCAGGTCCGGAGTGTCCTTGGGGTTATTGGAAAGCAGATTCTCTTCTTAAGCCCCTGGAATCTCGGAGAGCACTGTCTCTTTAAATATCCAAAATGGTCAAGCTGCTTGTAAACATTCAAAATGGCGGCACCCTCCGGACAGGCGAAAGTCCACAGCTCAGCCCATCTTCCTCTTCACCACTGCTTCCCCTTTTATTCCACAGCCACCAGAGCAGTCCTCCATGCAGTCCCTGGCTAGCAGGGCTGATTTTTAGGTTAATTCTTAGGTCCTAACACCACTCGGGAATCTCCAAGCTGTCTGTGCCGTCAGGATCGCTCAGGATCGCTGCCAGACCACAGCTCCGTATGTCTCCTTTTGTGGTATTTTCATGCAAATTCTTCTGCTAGTTGGGGTTTAGTCCACTTTTATATCCTTCCCTTCAAGCCTCAGGGGTCCAGGATTATCTTCTGTGTCTGTGTTAACTGGTTTCCCTTTTCTTTGTTGAAGAGGGTCTGTACAGACTTTCTGCCTATTCCGCCATCTTGGAATCCCAAGCGCATTATGCTCTTTTAAGGAATTAACAATAGGTGATCAAACTGACAACAGCAACTTGAAAGGTTAGATGAGAAGCTCAGGGGGCACTGAGTTTATCTTAATAGTGGTAGAATAATTTGGAAAAGGAATGAGAATGGTTGTACAACTTGAAGAATGTAATCAGTGTCGCTGAATTGTACATGCAGAAACTGGAATTTGTGTATGTTTTGCTGTGCATATTTTCACCAAAGAAAGAGAAAAAGAAAAAAACAAAAAAACAGAAGACAGGAGTTAACAAAAATAAAAGCAGAAACTAATATGCAATGTTGGCTTTTATTTCTTAAGTTGAATGTTGGATACTTGGATGCTCATTATGTAATTCTAAACAAATTCTAATTATCTTTTTGTAAACATGAAATATTTCACAATAATTTTTACACTTGTTAAATAAAATATATATCTATGAAAGAGTTAAGAATTTAAAAAACAGACTATGGATGCTATTTATGTGCTGCTATGAAAAGATCTCCAGGATACAATTTGGTGAAAAAAGTTAAGTACAGAATCCTATAGGTAGCAGACTGCCTTCTGTGTAAAGCAGCATGGGGAAGGAAGTAGAATAAGAACACATGTTCGTATGTGTGGTATCTGTGAAAAGAGATTGGAAAGATATGTAGAAAATCTACATAATAGATCATCTATGGGAAGATTGGGGGGAACGAGATGGATGGGGTAGGAGTAGGTTTTTCAGTGAAACCTTTATCATTTTCTGAGTCATGAGAATGACTTATTCAGAAAATGTCATTAAAAAAAATCTTAAAAGGTAAAGGCTACTTAATTGCTTTAACATACAGAGCCTTGATCAAGGGGTCACTAAGTGTTATATCTGATAAACAATATTTGCTAAATGCTTACAATAAAGTATATGAATAATTTTTTAAAAGATAAGCGTTGAGCCCTGGGGAACATGCTGGGCAAGTCTGCAGCGTCACAGGATTAGAAAAACCACCCTGCCCTGGAGATATGACAGTCCAGGCCTCTTTAAAGGTACTATGGTAGTGTAGGAGCTCTGGTAGCATAGTACCTAAGGCACTTGACTGCTAACCAAAAGGCTGGCTGTTCAAACCCACCCCATTCCTCAGAAAGAAGGTTGGGCAATCTACTTCCATAATGATACTGCCTCGGAAACCCAAGGAGGGGTCTCTATGCTATGAGTCCGTAGTGATACTGCCTCGGAAACCCAAGGAGGGGTCTCTATGCTATGAGTTCGTAGTGATACTGCCTCGGAAACCCAAGGAGGGGTTGCTATGCTATGAGTCGGCCAATTCAACGGCACATAACAACAACAACAACATGGTAGTGTGGTGACCTCTTTAGGTCTCCAAAGACAGAGTGATTTGTAGTATCATAAGATGGAGAAGGTGGCCTCATGCCAATTGGGGTGGTAGGGGTGGTGGGAGGCACGGCCAGTGGCCTTGGCTGCAGACTTGGAAGGACAAAAACCTGATTAGCAGTGCTGCCTCTGGAGTGAGAGTGGGAGAGTCCAGGCTGGATATTAAAGGACAAGTATGAGGTGGAGCCTACACTTGGCACCTGTACCCTGACTACCAGAGAGGAGGCTTATCCTGCCCCTGCCAAGAAAGCCCACTTTCAGGTAATAGGAAGATCATGAAAATATATATGAACCGAGTTTTATTTCGAACTGAGTAATTTTAAACCACCACTAGAAACTTCTGATTAAGATCCCGTAATATTCTGGTGGCATAGTGCCTAAGGCATTTGACTGCTAATCAGAAGGCTGGCGGTTCAAACCCACCAGCCGGTCCTCAGAAGGAAGGTTGGGCAATCTACTTCTGTAGTGATACTGCCTCAGAAACCCAAGGAGGGGTCGCTATGGGTCTGACTCGATGGCACATAACAACCACCACCACCCACACTCTTTAAGCCTAACCATTGTGCAGCAGGCCAGCTCCAAACTGCCTGAGGGCTTTTCTAGAGACAGAAATATTTAGAGAATTTCTCCTTACTGATGGGATTAAGTGGCCAAAGACCCCCATCCCTCTCACCACTAGGATGAGATCAGAGGTGAACACTATGCAATGTTCCCCAGAGGCCCCAGAGGGACTGAGCTCCCTACCCACAAGCGTTAACTGGCTACCTTACCTTCTCTTCCCATCCCTGGCTCACTTCCCCAACCCCCTTCTGGGTTTCCTGGGATTATCTCCCACATCAAACACTTGCACCCATCCTTGCCTCAGGTTCTGCTTCTCGGGGATCCAAACAAACCCACTACCTGTGATGCTCGTTTTGATAAAGGAAACTAACACCACCATTTTCAGAGGACACAAAAGGAGAACCGACGTTATGTGGAGGACAAGCAGCCTCTTAGGGACAACAAGCAGTTCACCCCCATCCTTGACCATGAAGACTCAGATCCCCATGCAGAGTGGTGCTCACAAACAGGGGCAGACATGCATTGATCAGACTCATGACAACAGAGGGTGAAATCACACAGTCGGAGTTTTTAATTCAAAACGAGAAAGAAGACAACATTGAGGCCAGGTCACTCAGACAGACATCTTCTCTCCCTGCAGACGAGGAAGTCCAGGATTATCCAGAGGCATCAGGTCAGAACATAAGACAGAATCCCTCTGCTGAGGCGTTTTTCTGAAATGACTTGACTGTGAGCAGGTCTCGCTGACCTAATGCTTGCTGATGATGCCACAGCGGCTGTAAAGGTGGGGGCCTGTCCCTGTGGATGTACAGTTCCCACACCCTCACTGAAACGATGGGTTTGAGAAGGGGAGATAGGCTGAGGTCCCAGCAGCCCTCCTCACCACTGCAGCACCAGCAGCTGATAGAGGCATATGTGGGGCTGGCTGGGAGAGGAGATCAAGTGGAAGCACAGTGGTCCAATACACCTGTTCTAGGTACATGATGTTCTGTGACTCAGAGAGAGCCTGTGCCTCCATTCCCTGGCCTGGCCCCCTTGCTGCCAGTTGTCCTGTCCACTTGTCCTGTGCCTTGTGTTTGGCAGTACCTCAGAGCTGGGTGCAGGTTGAGCAGGAGGGGGATACCATATTTCACCTGGCTGTGTCTGTCCACTGTCCTCCTTCCCTGTCCTCTCAGGCAGCCCCCCAGTAAGAGAGTCAGAGGGGCCAGGCAGCACTGAGCTCCTTCTCCAGACCCTGGACAAACTGGTCGTTGAGGAAGAGCAGCTGACCATGGGGCAGGAAGTGGGCAAGGATGGCCTCGATGCGGTCTGCTCGCAACAGGAGGCTGGCATTGGGGGCCAGCAGGCGGAGGTGATCAAAGAGGAGGCGTGTCAGCAGCCGGAGAGTGCTCTCAGCTAGCAGCAGGTTCTCGTGGGCATCCAGCACTAGCGCAAAGCCTAAGGAGAGCACGCCAAGCCATACTACTGTTCGTGGCTCCCGGAAAGGGTCTCCTGCTGCCAGGCGGAAGGCCCCATGTGGGGCTTCGTATAGGGATGGTGGCTCATCTGAGGACTGGGGTGGCAGGTCTACAGGGGAACGGCCGGATGCCTGTTGCTGCAGCTGGCACACAGACTCCACCTGCCTGGAAGAGTGACAGCAGGTCAGGCTAGGAGTGAGGGGCCTGTTGAGGCCACCACTACAGCCCATATACACATCAACTTCTGTCATCCTTATAAGTACCTCTGGAGCCAGAAACTACCACTATACCCACTTCTCAGATGAGGAAACTGAGCACCAGAGAGACTAAGTGACCTGCCTAAGAGCCACACAACCAAGAAGCATTAGCCTGATGGGAATCCAGGCTTCAGTTTCCAGGCCCTGACCCACTTCACTTCATGTGGCCAAGAGAAGGCAGGTTTTGAAGACAGCTTCTGGCTAGAAAAGACACCAGGGCCTATCTTGCCCCACCTGCTTCCTCAACAGAAAGAAAATCAGGAGAAGTAGATTTAAAGACATCACCCAAATTGGGCTGTATAACCTCTCCTTCCTTGTCCAATCCTGCAACCCTCTCCAAAATAAAAAACACTTTTGAAACTACTTCTGATCCCTCCTCCTTCCACTTCGGCTTTGAGCAGGGTGGTATTAGAGGCATTTGCAAGACTTTTTGTGCTACAGAGAAGGGTAGTAGACCGAGAAGAATAAGGGGATGGTAGGAGGGTGGCATAGGGTTGTCCCAAGAGTGTTAACCCCCCCCCAGACACACAAACAGAACAGAGAGGCCAGGAGAGGAGACTCTGGCACCTGCTGGTGCTGTCTGGGCCCAAGGAGCCGGGGAGGTTCTAATGCTAGCAACCCCAGTCTGCTCTGCGGACCCCAGGCCTTCAGGTCTCTGTGTCTCAGTTTACTCATTAGTAAGGTGAGGAAAATTGTCAAAAGACAAATTATAAGTCAAAAGACTCATAGGATTAAGAATTAATATATGTGAAGTGCTCAGAAAAGGACTCAGCACATAATTTTTCTTTCCAGCTGCTGTTGAGTAGATTCCAACTCATGACGACCCTAAGGCTTTCAGAAAGGAACTGTACTCCATAGGGTTTCCAATGGCTGATTTTTCAATAGATTGCCAGGCCTTTCTTCTGAGATGCCTCTCGTGGACTCAACTCTCCAGCTTTTCAGTTAATAGCTAAGGATGTTAACCATTTGTGCCACCAAGAGACTCCTCAGCGTATAATTACAGGCTCAGTAAATGCTAGCTATAATAATAATAAAATCATTATTATTTCTTAATTCTTTTTCATGTAATACTCATCAAGAACTATGAACGACCCTTAGGGAAACGCTACTCTAAAGCTTAGTCTCAGCTTCTTCATTCTTCCATTCCTTTGTGCTACCCAGAAAACAATCACAATTGGGCTTGTGTTAGATGAAAGCGTGGGTTTGGGCTGGTAGTTACCTGGCCACGGCCAAAATCTGCTCTTTGCGGAGGAGCCTGTCCCTCTCGGCACCCTGTGGCCTTGGGTCATCAGGTGACTTCTCAGCACCAAAGACACAGGAGTAGAGCACTCGGCAGAAGCCTGTGTCCTCCGCAAGCGGGGCCCGCAGGGTGTGGATGAGGAAGGCGTGGACCATCGTTCTCAGGCAGTGCTACAAGGAAGTCAGAGACCTTGGTAAGGTGAAAGTGAAACCCCATGGGGGGGGGGGAGCACTCACCTAAAAGGTCTGGCCTAGCTGGGTCTGTGACTGTGACACTTCAGCCTCTGAATAATGGCGTCTGGTGAACATAACTTCTGGTGTTCCTACCAACAACCAAGTCTAACGGTGAAGAAATTCAGACACCTCCAAACCTAGTCCTACAAAGCAAGTGGCCAGGAATCTTCAACAAGGTCAAAGGCAAGGGAGTCAGGAGAAAGCTGAGGAACTGCTCCAGACTAAAGGAGACCTGCTAGCTGAACACATGTGTGTTCTTGGATTGGCTTCTGGACCAAGAGAAAGGTAATTTCAATCAAGGACATTATTAGGATAACTGGAAAAATGTAACTGCGGATTATAGGTTAGGTATGGGTTAGTCTTGATCCATGTTAATTTCCTGACTTTGAACATACCAAACCAAACACTGCCATTGAGTCAGACCCAACTCATAGCAACCCCTCCTTGCGTCTCCAAGGCAGTATCACTACAGAAGTAGATTGCCCAATCTTCCTTGCAAGGAGTGGCTGGTGGGTTTGAACCGCCAGCCTTCTGATTAGCAGTCAAATGCCTTAGGCACTATACCACCAGAGCTCCCCTGAATGTACCAGGGTGTCCTTATTCTTAGAAAACGCACACTGGTGTATTTAAGGGCGGTTGTTGTTGGTTAGATGCTGTAGAGTTGATTGCAATTCACGGCAACCCCATGTGTGCAGAGTAGAACTGCTCCATAAGGTTTTCTAGGCTGTGACTATTAGGAAGCAGATCATCAAGCCTGTGTTCCCAGGTGCCTCGAGGTGGGTTCGAACCGCCAATATTTGGGCTAGCAGTCTAGTGCTTAAACTTTTGCCCCACCCAGGGACTCCTGTATTTAGAGGTAAAGGGGTATAATAGCTGCAACTAATTCTCAAACGATCCAGCAAGGAAAAAATAAAGAGAGAAAAGAAAGAGAATAAAGCAAATGGAGCAAAATGTTCAGGGAATTAGTTATTAGACTAGGGTATGCAAGAATCCTTTGTAACAAACTTCTTGTACTATTCTGTAAGTTTGAAATCATCTCAAAATAAAAATAAAAATTACTAAATAATAATAAAAAGTATCTGGTTGGCTCAGCGACTGGATGGCAGGCCAGAGGGACTGAAAGGCAGTGGGTGCAAAATAAGCAAGAATCTATACCCAAAAACGCTCTGTCGTGGAGTCTGCAACTCTACAGTAGAGTAAAACTGCCCCACAGGGTTTACAAGGCTGTAATCTTTAGGAAAGCAGACTGCCACATCTTACTCCCGCAGAGCTGCTGACAGATTTGAATCACCGACCTTTCAGTTAGCAGCCGAGTACCTTAACCACTGCACCACCACGGCTCCTTGCACATATTAAAAAAAAAAAAAAACATTGCCGTAGAGTCAATTCTGACTCATAGCGACACTACAGGGCAGACCAGAATTGCCTAATAGGGTTTCCAAGGCTGTAATTTTACAGGAGCAGATTGCCAAATCTTTCTCCAGCCGAGCGTCTGGTAGGTTCGAACTGCCAGCCTTTCTGTTAGCAGCTGGGTGCTTAACCACTGAGCCACCAGGAGAAATACCTATACCAAAAAAAAAAAAAAAAACCTCATTGCCATTGAGTCGATTCCGACTTATAGAGACCCCCATTGGGTTTCTGAGGCGGTAAATCTTTACGGAAGTAGATTGCCCAGTCTTCCTTCCGCGGAGTGGCTGACGGGTCAGAACCGCCAACCTTCTGGTCAGCAGTCAAATGCCTTAGGCACTACGCCACCAGAACTCCCTTAATATCTATAGTTATGGCTAAATAAATCATCAGTTTAAATTTGTCAAACAGGAAGGTTTGCGAAGACTCTAAGAACCTGAGCCCTCAAATCAGACACTGACCTAGAGTAACCCTCTAGCCGCACGCAACGAGCATCATCAGCCCTCGCCAATAGGTGCCCTCCAGCAAGAGAAAAAGGGCAGCGATCACAGTCCATTTACTTCAAAGCATCGCGCAACCCTGGCCGCAATGCACTCTGGGAGTTGTAGTTCTCGCCTCCAGGCAGCCAGGAAAAAAACAGGGCACCCCTCCCAGAGGGTGCTGTCCCTATCCCGTCCCAGGCCGCTGTCCTCGAGGCGTCGCACTCACCCTTCCCTCCGAGCCCGCAGACTTCCAGTAACAGGCCACTCCACTTGGCAGCGGGGTGAGCAATGGCAGCTGCGCGGCCCGTCAGCGCTTGCGCTCGCGGGTTTGGGCAAGCGCACGAGCATGGCGCGTTCGGGATAGGCGGGGCGGTTACGTCTGAGTGTTGGGGCCTTTGGCGTGTGGCGGTAATTATCGATGACTGATTTCAGACCGTAAGCGACCTTCACGGCCCGACCAAAGATTGCTGCTTCGGGTTCAGTGGGGGCAGAGACACACCATTCACTCCCAGAAAATCCCCGCTTTAAGCCTTGAGACAGCCGAACCTCAGGCCACAAACTCCGGCGGCCGCGAGGGGGCGCAGGGGGCCGACGGCGACCTCGCGCAGGAACTTTCCGGAAGTGGTCGTGTGGCAGTATCCTCGCCAGCGGTGTGGGTTTAGACATCCGAAGCTCCTCACAGATTTAGGACTGTGGGGCAACCGGTAGTCCCAGGGCTGGGACCCGAAGAGCTAGGCCGGTCACTGAGGGTGTGGAACTCATTCAACAGCTGTTGTTGTTGTGTGCCGTGGAGTCGGCCCCGACTCATAGCGACCCCTCCTTGGGTTTCCGAGGCAGTTATCACTACGGAAGTAGGATTGCCCAACCTTCCTTCCGAGGAGTGGCTGGTGGGTTTGAACCGCCAGCCGTCTGGTTAGCAGGCAAGTGTCTTAGCCACTATGCTTCAACAGCTAGCTAATTAAAATGGAGATTCTTGGGCTTTGCCCCTGGAAATTATAATTCTGAACGGAAGTCTGTGTATTTAGGTAGTTTTTTGTGGGATTCTGGGTTGTGGATTCCTGCAGTGGTTTAAGGCTTTGGCCAGGTTCGGAGAAGAACGATTTGAACTCTGGTCCCACCCCTGTCCATAGCTGTGTGTCCCTGGCAGGTCAGTTGAATCCTTGGGCCCCAGTGTGGGTTCTAGGGCCAACCCTTTTTCCCCTCTCTTATGCCTAAGGCATTTGACTGCTAACGAGAAGGTTGGTGGTTCAAACCCACCAGCTGCTCCCGGGAAGGAAGATGGGTGCAATCTACCTCCATAAAGATATACCGCTTTGGAAACCCAGTGGAGGTTGCTGTGAGTTGGAATTACCTCTGTAACAGTGGGTACTCCCACTTCCAACAGTCTCTCTCCTGGACCCCAGTTTGACTGAGGCCATCCCAGCTATAGTGAAGAGACTTACATGTTAGACCCAGAAAGGGCACTGCGGGGTGCCAGGCTGTGAGCCCTATGTCAGGGGAAAGCCAGAATTGGAGGCTTAGCCTGTTGAGAGAAGACCTGCCTGAGTCTCACTGCCTGCCTTGGCTTGGGTACTACACACGCACACGCACGAACACACACACCATACATGTGCTCTCTCTGTCTCTCTCTCTCCTGTACCTCATGGAATGTGACCTTCTTGTGCCTCCCCAGATACGGCCTAGTGTTCTGTGCCTCAGAGCCCCCCACACTGGCTGCTCCCTCTGCCTGGAATGTCCTTTCCTCCCTTTTCTTGACCTCAGAATGCACTGAGACCAAAACCTTGGGGCAGCCAGCTGTTCCTGCCTCAACTGCCCGCTAGCATTCAGCTGACCCCTCTGCTCCTGTAGTGAGAATCTGCTTGCAACGGTGTTGTCTCCCATAGGGTACACTCGGGGTATTGCACCCATCTTCACTCCCAGGGCCATGCACAGGGCAGGACTGTTGCCAATCTGAACAGATTCCTTGGTGACCAAAGAAATGAAGATCAGGGCAGGGGCAGTCCAGACAGGACCCCAGGAATCAAGACTCTCTAAGGGACTATGCTTGGGCTTTTAGGCCATAGAATCTGGGACTGGGGAGACTTAGGAAATGGTGAGACTTGACAAGGAGATGTGAGTGTTTTGACCATAGGTCCAACACACACACACACTTGTATGTGGAGTTGGGCCAGAGACAGTGTAGCACCTTGGCCACAGGACAAGAGTGGTGAAGTTAACTCAGTAGGAATAGTTGCTGGTCCCAGGGATTCATCACTATCTCTCTTAGGCAGGCCTCATGTCTGCCAGCTGATTACAGCAGAGAGCTGGCAGAGGGCTCCAGTTGCTGGGGCCACAGAAGGATTCCTAGATAGCCCCACCTGGCATCTTGGGACATGGTATTTAGATTTCTAGGGGGACAGCTTTGTATGGGGTAAGTGGGTGAAACTGGTCTGAATCTACCTTGGAGGGCAGAAGGGGATCCAGGTGAAGGTGGCATCATGGAGGGCTTCCTCAGCCTTGGGAGGGGTGGGGGGGGAGGTCTTGCCTGAAAGTTTGCTGGGAGGCAGCTTATGGGTATGCTCTGGGAGATCCTTTCTCCTTGGCCACTGGTCTCCCCCTGGTCCAGCCCCACACTTCCCGAGAGTGTGTGTTCTGGGCACCTTATGAATGTGTGGTGATGCCAGTTCAGACATCATTTAAAACAGCTAGCCCTGCAGCATCCATGCATGCTCACCTGCTCTCTGCTACTCTGCCCTGTGACCCAGCAATTCTACCTCTGGAATATACCCGAGCAAAGTCAGGGCTCAAAAAAACAAACCAGACTCAATGCCATTGAGTCGATTCTGACTCATACCAACCCCCTTTGGGTTTCTGAAGCAGTAAATCTGTGGAAGTAGATTACCCAGTCTTCTTTCCATGGAGTGGCTGGTGGGTTTGAACTGCCAACCTTCTGGTTAGCAGTCAAATGCCTTAGGTACTACACCACCAGAGCTCCTTACGTCAGAGCTAATGTCCACCGAAAGACATGGACTAGAATGTTCATAGCAGCTGTTA